TAAAGCCATATAGATTAATGGGAACAGAACAGAGGAGGGCTGGGGCACCTGTGTGGCTCAGTCATCAACCATCTGCCTTTGGCTCAGGTCATGATCCTAGAGTCCTGGGTTTGAGCCCCACATCCAGCTCCCTGCTCAGCAGTAAGCCCGCTTCTCCATCTCCCACTCCCTACGCCCCAGCTTGTGTTCCCTTTCTCGCTGTGTCTCTATCAAATAAATCAATAAAATCTTTAAGAAAAAAAAAGAAAGAGGACGTTCTGAAGATGGACCCTCACAAATATGCCTGACTAATTTCTGACAAACATATTCAATGGAAGAAAGACAGCGTTTTCAACAAAGGTTGCTGGAACAAATAAGCAAAAAATGAATCTCAATAAAAGTCTCACACCTTACATAACATTTACTCAAAATGGACCACAGACTTAAATGTAAAACGTAAAACTATAAAAATTTTAAGGAAAAAAAGGCAAAATCTTCAGAATCAAGGGGCAGGCAGAGTTCTAAGAAATGACACCAGAAACATGTTCCACAAAAAGAAAAAATAGATCAACTGGATTTCATCAAAGTTCAAATCAAAACAAAAACAAACCGAAAGGTCTTAGGAATTAAAAAGCCTGATAAATAAAAAATTCAACAGGGTGTTTGGAATGTAAAGCTGAGGAAATCTGCCGGAAAGTAGAGAGGGGGTAAAAAAAGAAAGAAAAAGAAAAGGGAGAAAACACGAAATATTAGAAAATCAACTCAGGAGAACCAACATCCAAAATAACAGCAACTTCAGACAAAAGGAAGACAGAAAAGGAAATCACCAAATGAGACAGGCCAAAATTCCTCACAATGCAAGGATAGGAGTCTCTTGATTACATGGGGACACCATTTATTAATAAATAATAAATGTACACAGCAAGGTGTATCATCAAGGTATTTCAGTACACTGTAAACAAAGGGGAAACATAAATTTCTAGGGGGAAAAAAATGGGTCACAGAGAGCCGATATTAGAATGACTTCGAACTTCCTATGCACAATAGTGAAAGCTAAAATACATGGTACAGCCATGTTTTCAAATACCTGAATGAAATGATTTCTGAGCCAGAATTTTATACACAAGGTTTCATATGTGTGAGCATAAAATAAAGACACTTCCAGACTTTTAAGGTCTCAAGAATTTACCTACTATGAATAAGGAAGCTACCACAGGATAAGCTCCACCAAAATGAGGAAGTAAAGCAAAAAACCCAAGTCAGGAAATCTAACAAAAAAGTGAGGCAAAGGGAATGACTAAGAAATTCCAAGATAAGACTGTAAATTGGGCCTAGAGAGCAACCAAACCAGATTTCACTGAGTTAAGCGACTGAGATTTCTTCAAGATTAAATGGACAGAACACATAAATGCAATTAAAAGTATTCTTTTTTTTTAATGATTTCTAGAGCCTAGGGAGAGTTTGGGGTTAAACTGCTGAAAAGTACACAGGAAAGACAGACCAAAAAATTGAAAAAGATTATTAATTCCAGTGAAAACAGAGTTATACAGAAAAGGAATAGTAATCTAGTCACCAGAAGACTCTGCAAGATCAGTGTTTTCATACATGTAAAAACTAATACTACTGTGACTAACATATTGCCAAAACTTCTTGCAGCAGAATGGGAAGTGAGCATGATTGCAGGTATCTGGGGAGAAGGATGTGCAGGGAATGAAAGAGAGCTAAATTTTTGCTTTCCATACTATATATTGCCTAAAATGGAGAAAAAAAAATCAGGAACTAGCAATATCAGCATGTTATTTTGAAACACATCAAATGAATCAACCAAAAGTGGTTGTCTCTGGGATGTTACAGTGACAGAGGAGGGCCCCTCAGGGAAGTGCTTGAAGTTTTGGGGAAAAAGCTTAGTTTACCTATGTGATTTAAGTTGTGAAAAAATATAAACTCAAAACAGAACCAAATCTTCCCCAGCTAATACACAGCTGGACCAGAACTTGAATTCATGTAACCGAGTTCCCGATCGGGTGTGTTAATTTGTGACCTCGTAAGGGGCCTATGTCCTCCTAGTTCCACACCCGCCTGGCACAGAGCCAGCCCTCAAACATGTTTCTGAACGAGTGGGAGAAAGTTAAAGAATGGGATTACTTTCATAATGCCAGAGAATGAATGAGAAGGGCATTCCAGGCAGAGGAAACAGCAGAAGCAAATACAGGAAAGGGAGTGTGTGTGAGAGAGCTCAGCAAGGCAGGGACAAGGGGAGGAGGGGCAAAGAGAAGCAGCCAGAAAACCCAGTGGCTGCTGGCCGGAGATGCAGTGAGTCTGGTTGTCCTCTGTGGAGGGGCGTGGGGGCACACTGATGCTTTGAGGACGGATCTGGGGCCCCCATGTATTTGAGCCTTGGGGTTTTTTGTTATTGTTTTGCAATGATGATGACAACACTTATTTCTCTCAGCAAATGGTTTCTTAAATGGTTTCAGCTTTTTGGAATCTAAAGTAGTACGAGGCTCTCTAAAATCCCGAGGTCTTTTTCAGTTCACCCAACTGCCGTACAGCTGGTTACTCTAAGTAGCGCCCGAAGGGCCAACTCCACAGCGGAGAACAGGGAAGCAAAGTCTAGTGGAATCCCTACAATGCCACCTTCACTCATTTTTTTGGACCTCTTTTTGGACCTTTTGGGCATAAAGTAATCATCTCTAGGTGAATATTTGAATCAGATATTACCATTATTCATACATTCATTTCATCCAAAAAGTCTATTAAGTACAGATGACACCTGAACAACAGGAGTTTGAACAGCATGAATGTAGATGTGTATTATCACTTCACTTAAATATGGTACAGTTCAGTAAATGTTATTTTCCTTATGATTTTTTTTTCTTTTTTTTAAAGTAGGCTCCAAGTGGGGCTTGAACTCACAACACTGAGATTAAGACCTAAACTGAGATCGAGAGTCAGCCACTTAACCCACTGAGCCACCCAGGTGCCCCTCCTGATGATTTTCTTAATATTTTCTTTCCTTTAGCTTCCTTTATTTCAAGAACACCATGTATAATACATACAACATACGAAATGTGCGTTGACTGTTTATGTTACCGGTAAGACTCGCAGTCAACAGCGGGCTGCTTCTAGTTAAGTTTTGGGGGTGCTGAAAGTAATATGAGGATTTTCAATTCTTCAGAGGTCAACTCCCCAGCCCCTGTATTGTTCAAGGATCGACTGTATTTACTTTATGCCAAGCAGGCTGCTGAAATATAAAGGTCCTGATTTTTTATTTTACTTTTAATTTTTTTTTAAAGACGGACCTTCTTTATTTTTTTTAAAGATTTTATTTATTTATTTGATAGAGATCACAAGTGGGCAGAGAGGCAAGCAGATAGAGAAGGGGGAAGCAGGTTCCCCACTGAGCAAAGAGCCCGATGTGCGGCTTGATCCCAGGACCCTGAGATCATGACCTGAGCTGAAGGCAGAGGCTTAACCCACTGAGCCACCCAGGCGCCCCAGTCCTGATTTTTTAAAAAACTTACCTTCTGATGGCAGAATTACTTATAAGATAAAAAGATAAGCAATATAATTGGCATAAACAAAAGTATTGTGGAAACAGAAAGGAATAAAAGACTATCTAAGGGGGCCCCTGGGTGGCTCAGTCAGTTAAGCCTCTGACTCTTGATTTCAGCTCAGGTCATGATCTCAGGATCGTAAGACTGAGCCTGTGTCTGTGTCGGGTGTGGAGCCTGCTTAAGATTCTCTTTCTCCCTTTCTCACTGCCCCTTCCCCCCACACTTGATCTCTCTCTTAAAGAAAAAAAAAAAAAAAAGACTACTTAAGTTTTTTAATGTATAATATCAAATAGAAGTGAAAGTAAGAGACTATCAAACTCCCACATACCCACCGCTCTTCTTCGATTGTAACCCTCTGCCAACTTTCTCTTCTAAATCTACTCATTAACTTTAAGACATCATGTTATTTCATCCACAAATATTTCAGCATATATCTCTGACAGGGACTCTTTCTTTAAACACAGTATGAATCTGAATTGTGAAAACAAAGTTTTTAAGATGTGAGGTATAGGGGCGCCTGGGTGGCTCAGTGGGTTAAAGCCTCTGCCTTCTGCTCAGGTCATGGTCCCAGGGTCCTGGGATCGAGCCCCACATGGGGCTCTCTGCTCGGCGGGGAGCCTGCTTCCTCCTCTCTCTCTGCCTGCCTCTCTGCCTACTTGTGATCTCTATCTGTCAAATAAATAAATAAATAAAATCTTTTAAAAAAATAATAATAATAAATAAAAAATAAAAAAGATGTGAGGTATAATTTACATATAGTAATAAGGCACAGATCTTAAGGTATTCAGTTGAATTCTAACACTTGTATAGCCCTGTATAACCACTACCCAAAACAAGATATAGAATGTTTCTATGGCCCAGAAAGTTCCCACACACCTTCTTCTAGTCAATTTCCCACACTCAGATGACCACTTCCTGATTTCTGTTTCCACAGATCACTTTTGCTCGTTCTTGGACTTTTATAAAAGAAATCATAGGGTATGTATGAGTAAGAGGTTTCTAGTCCAAGAAAAGGAAAAACCATCTCTGGAGGACAGAACTACACGTATAAAACACAAAGGTATATTCACAGAATGCTGAGAAGCTCAAGAGGGATAAAAACCAGGATTGGGAGTAGACAAGTCTAGAAGAGGAGGCTCAATGGAGAGCTAGGGTTTCTGGATTAAATTCCATAGTTAGTTCTGGGAATGAAGTCATGAAATAAACTTATCCCGATGCACAAGCATTTCTCTGACCTTAAAAGTTGGTCAATTCTCTCAGCACCCTCCTTCCTCCTCAACCTCCAGCTAACGGTGACCAAACTGGCAGAAGCAAGCTCTACCGCCAAGCCTCTTCACTCGCATCTTGTGCTGAGGCTCCTCTGCCATCTCAGGGAAGGAACAAGCCTCCCCAAACCCCCCATCACCCTTCTTAGGAGAGGGCACATTTTCAACAAGCAATCCCAAGTCTCAGGGGCAGCCTTACCATTATCTGGATTTCTCTCTTGCACACCTGGAGATCATGCTCATTGTTGACAAACATGCGTTTCAAGGCACATTTCATTCCATTGCTTGTCCTCACCAGAAACACAATGGCAAATCCACCTGTGAGGGAAACACACATACAAGCTGAGTCATGTTCAAAAAGCCAGTCAGACAACCACAGTGGCTGCAGCTTTGTGCTGTCACTGTTAATGGTACCAATGCCATCATCAGCTGGGCCTAAGAGCTGGCCTGGCCTAGAAGGCACTCTTGGATTCAAGGGTCTCAGGGATATTACCATGAGATTGGATGGCAAGAGTCAGAAAAACTGCTGAACACCTATGTCAGGAAAAGAGAAGAATAGTAATTATCTTGCAAAAAACCTACCCATAAACAGATGAACAAACAGATGGAAGAAAAAAGAAATATATTCCAACCACTGTCCTAGGCACTTTGAGTTCTTATTGAATTCTTACTACAATCCTGTGAGGTTGGGTATTATTTTTCCCTTAAGGACAATGACTAGCTAGAGAAAACAGAGGCTCAAAGAGATTAGATTCAACCAAGAACTTAAAAAAAAAAAAAATTAACTCAGCACTTAACCAGAGAGGCTTGGAAATTATTTTAATAATTGTATAACAGTTGTAAAACTCAAGATGCTTTCTTTTCCTTCTCAACCCTCCTCACCCCTCCCCCAACTTCGATCGACAAGTGACCTTGAGGATTTCTCCTGTTTTTCCTGCCTTATGGGCTACTGAGAAGACACAAAATATAGGTATCAAAGTGTTCCTCAACACAGCAGACGCCAGGAAAGTATAACTCAATTAGTGGGCAGATGTTTTAACACCCACATCAAACCTTTCTCTTAAAGACCAAAATTCATTAAAATTTTTTTTTATATAACTCTAACAGAAATCCTCAAATGCTCTGGATTGGTTACACCTTAGCATTCCACAGATTCTTAGAACTCCCTCCTTCGATCTCATTCCCCAAACACTGCAGGAGGTGTTCAGTGCCATTGTTAATGGGGGTTATAGAGAGATACGGTGCTGCAAAGCTGTCAAAGCTGAAAGCTTTGGGATAAGCATTAGTAAGACTGGGCACTTAGTCCATCTGTCTGCTCATAGACCATCATAATTTAGCTTGAACCATCCCACGTATTGACCCTGGGTAGCAGCAGCAACAACAACAAAGTTTCGAGGCTATTCTTTGTACACAGGTGATCCTTGATTGGATGGAGAGGGACACAGAGGGAAGTCACCAGTGTGGGAAGTTGAGCGGAGGCTCGGGTGTAGTGCTGAGGCTAGCAGCCACATGCAAAACTGATAGAGAGCAAAAGCAGTGACTCTCTAGATCGTGAGGCAGAAGACTGGAGTCCTGTTGAATCTCCCCCTACCTCCTCTGAGGCCCAACGGCACCTGAGCACCTGTCTGTTGATGCCCGGGGCCATTTCCTGGTGTAGCCTCACAATGTGCATTCTTTTCCAAGTCTCCTTGTCTAGGTTTCTGCAACTTATAACCAAAGAGAGCTTTAATCGGAAAGCACTCTTGCGTATTTTCATCTGATACACACATTAATTCTGTGTTTACAAAAACGTTAGTGAACTCAAATGTTCCAAGTGTGCATGTTGACAATGTCTACCAAACGGCATGTTTGTACATTTCCTATCATAGCCTCCTTCTTCAGAGTCAGGTGAACATGGAGATTCGCCGTGACGTCTTTAATTTCCACAGTCATCTTGAATCTTTGTGTCTCAGTAACATTTCCCATTTTCTTGTAATACTTTACAGTCCATTCACACTGCTCAATTGTCAATTTTAATTCTAGAAATTCACTTTAAAAATTTGTTTACAACACTACCATGTACTGACAAGTAGGGGTGTTATGACATATAGACACAATCTCCATTTTAAGACGCATATTTTTTCACATTCGAATTTTTAGGATATTAGAATTTTTCTTGCGATAAATATGTACATTGAATGCAGTAGTTGATCTTCTTTTCCCCAAAAAGCTATTAAATTCATGATGTGTCTTATTTCCAATCAGAATCAGAAATGCTAATATAAATTATTAAATGTCTATATGTATTCAAAATTATTTTGTGAACAGCCCAAGTAGTCATTTTATAGATATTTCAATTTTTAGAGAGATATTTATTTATTTATTTATTTATTTGAGATAGAGTGAGAGAGAGCACAAGCAGGGCAGAGGGAAAGGGAGAAGTAGGCTCCCCCGCTAAGCGGGGGCCCTGATGCAGGGTTCACTCCCAGGACCCTGGGATCATGACCTGAGCTGAAAGTTGACGCCTAACCGACTCAGCCACCCAGGCACCCCAGGTATTTCAATTTTTTTTTTTTTAAATCACAGGTCTACAGACTTTGTATCAACAGTGCTCCTAGAGAGAATTAATCTTGGCATTTTGCTTTATGAAGAGACAAACTGAGTGAGGCTTAGGAGTCCCATGGCTAATTATGCAGAAGCTGTCATTCTGCTAACTGTCCAAACAACGCTCTTTCCACTTTATTCATCTCAGAGAAAGTCTGTGTAACAGCCCCTTTAGATACTAAGGAGACACCAAACAGTGCTGCAGAACCTGAGGTGGGAAGGGCCATTTCTCCAGTTCTGTGACGCACGGAACCACCGGAGGACAGGGCAGTCCTTTCGGAAGCAGGCTGATGACGCAGCAATCCGAGACAACTGCCACCAGATGGGAGCAGTGTGGTTTTCTTTGCCAGGCAGCAAGATGACCTTTCCAGCTGAAACTGAAGAAATGTGACAGATGTCTACGTCACGATCCAGGCAAGCACAAAGGGTTGAGATGAGCCAGCCAAGATTCCCCAAGCCTGTGACCATCACAGATCTGAAGGTAAAGCAATGAACCTGTGTGCCTAACACAGATGGAACCACATGATTTAGCTTCTATGCCCACAAAAGGGCTTATATGCAGGTGACAAGCATGTTAAGTCAGAGCTCCTTGATCAAATTCAAAGGCTGCTAGGATGTGTCAGTTTAAAGATGCTGGTTGCTAGCCCTGTGCAGTCGACCAACTAGAGATGTACATTACTTGGTTCAAAAGAACAGGGGACACAACACTGCTCGAGGTACTGCTCAAGCACAGGCCCGAGGCCCCAGTACAGATCAGGGGACGAAGATTCTTGGCCACGGCTAAACAGAGCCCAGACTGTTACACAAGAAGGCAACTATACGACTGTCAGCAGAGATGCATATTTCAGATTGAGCTGCATCACAAAACCTTGATGAAATGGAAAAACCTAAAGCTGAGCTGGGGACAGTTTGGACAGAGGTAAGAAAAGCTAACGTGCAAGACAGCCTGTGCCAATCTGCCCGCTGGAATCTGTGCCAGCCCCTCGGCCTACTTGCATTCTTTTCTGAAACGCTAAGATATTCCCTACGGTTGCATTGGGATCCACTTTGAGGGGAAATTCATGAATTTATGGAATCACAAAGGGACAAAGGATTCATTCCATGGTGTGAGGTAATCAACTGAAACAGCCATGACAAATGTTGACACAGACACACTTTAGCTCCTTAAATATGTTGGACCATTCTTTTATTCCCACAAAGAAACATGTGTTCTCCCACTTTCCCTAAAATATATAACACTCTTGGGCATATCTCCCCCTCATTCTTTTTTATTTTGGCTTAAAAAATTTTTTTTTAAAGATTTTTATTTATTTATTTGACAGACAGAGATCACAGGCAGAGAGGCAGGCAGAGAGAGAGAGGAAGGGAAGCAGGCTCCCTGCCAAGCAGAGAGCCTGATGTGGGGCTAGATCCCAGAACCCCAGGATCATGACCTGAGCCGAAGGCAGAGGCTTTAACCCACTGAGCCACCCAGGCTCCCCCACCCCCAATTTTTTTTATTAAAAAAGTATTATTAGTTTCAGGTAGAATTTAGTGGATTCATCACTTACATATGACACCCAGTGCTCATCCCAAGTGCCCTCCTTAATGCCCATCATCCAGCTACCCCATCCCCCACCCACTCCCCTCCAGCAACCCTCAGCTTATTCCCTATGGTTAAAGAGTTTCTTATGGTTTGCCTCCCTGTTTTCATCTTATTTTATTTTTCCTTCCCTTTCCCTATGTTCGTCTGTTTCTTAAATTTCACACATAAGTGAAATCATACGATAATTGTCTTTCTCTGACTTATTTTGCTTAGCATAATACCCTCTTATCCCACCCATGTCATTGCAAATGGTAAGATTTCATTCTTTTTGATGGCTGAGTATGTGTGTAAGTGTGTGTGTGTGTGTGTGTGTGTGTGTGTGTGTATCTCACCTCTTTTTTATCCATTCATCTGTTGATAGACATCTGGGCTCTTTCCATAGTTTGACTATTGTGGACATTGCTGCTATAAACATTGGGGTACGGGTGCCCCCTTTGAATCACTATGTTTGTATCCTTTGGATAAATACCTATTGATGCAACTGCTTGGTCACAGGGTAGCTCCTCCTAATTTTTAATGATGTGGATGGGTACTTATCACTCACTATGAGATTACAGATTTTTGTCTCCTCGTTTCCCCTCTGTATTATAGCGCCTAACATACATCAGGCGCTCAAAAATTAATTAACTTCCTTCTGATCATTACTACAGAGAACAGAAAAGTCTACAGAAGGTGGTGGGGGCAGGGGAAGACCACGGGAAACTAAAGCAATGGCTCACATATAGAACAGCCACTACATAACTACAGATAATCAGTGCCCTAAGAATATGGACCCAGGTCTGCTAGTTCCTAAAGATAACCTGGGAACTCAAAACTGTATGTGAAATATCCACATGTAAACACTGGTGACAATCACATTTTAAATTAACACTGGACAGGCTGACACTACAGAGCTAAAGGAAACACATCTGAAAGGCTAAGTCTCTGAGCATAGTTTCCTCTGTCTGATCTAGTCTAACCCCTCATCTTACTGATGGCCAGGGGAGAAAGTCCCACAGCCAGTGGTACACAAAGGAGGGGGGGAATGAATATATATATATATATATATATATATACACACACACACACACACACACACACACACACACACACACACACACACACTGGTTATCACAGTTCTTGCCTCTCTTCCCTAAAGAGGAATTTATGGAATTTGCCCCTACCCAGCATCTGTATTTGACTTTATACTTTTTCAAAAGCATTTCAATTTATATTTTCACCATAACTGAATGAGGCAGATGAATTACCCACAGTCCTCATTTTCCTGACAGGAAAGAAATATAGAGAGATTAAGCTCCTTTTACAAAAATACACAAAGCTGGTTAGTGGTAGAGCCCAAACTAGATCCCTCGTCTTTGTAAATGCTTTAAACCAACTTTACATACAATACAATGCACCCTTCGAAGTGCAGAGTTTGATGAATTTTCACACCTTTATACTCTCTTTCACCATGACCTCCATCAGTCCATCACTATGAACAGTTCCTTGTGCCTCTGCGTAGGCAACCACCCCCTGCCTACTATCTCATGTAACTTCTGATCTGCGATCAGTCCTGTAGATTAGTTTTGCTTGCTCCAGAATAAATGGAATCAAACAGTATGTACTATTCTGTCTGGCTTCTTCTGTATAATATTTCTGAGATTCACTCTGATTGTTATGTGTATCAGTAGTTTGGGATTTTTTAAATTGCAGACTAATATTGCATTATATAGACATTCTCCACAATAGTTTAACCATTCATCTGTTAAAGAATAGTTCCACTGTTTCTACTTCAGGCTGTTATAAATAAAATGTTCATACAGAAGTCCATTTTTTTTTTTTAAAGATTTTATTTATTTATTTGACAGACAGATCACAAGCAGGCAGAGAGGCAGACAGAGAGAGAGGAGGAAGCAGGCCCCCTGCTGAGCAAAGAGCCCGATGTGGGACTCGATCCCAGGACCCTGAGATCACGACCTGAGCCGAAGGCAGAGGCTTCAACCCACTGAGCCACCCAGGCGTCCCAGAAGTCCATTTTTTGTAGACATTAAGTATTTATTTCTCTTGGGCAAATAACTAGGAATGGAATTGCTGGGACATATGGTAAGTGTATATTCTAAATCCAGAATATCTTCTTGAAATCAAGGGCATAAGATCCAAAGGCCAATAGGGAGCAGACAGATCATGCAAAGGAGGGAAACAGTCCAGTTATCACAAAATGTCTAGACAGGGACCAGTGACACAGACTTGCTGTGTCTATGGGGTGGGGACCACATCAACCAGAAAGGGCATGCCCCATGCTTGTAGGCAGCCACTCCTCAAATCCAGCCCATCACTACCACGAAGGAATGTGAGCTGAGGGTTGCCAAGTTTTTTGACTTCCAAGAGAAGCTGGAGTTTTCTGTGAAATCTCCTGGTTTTTAGTTTTTATTTTTATTATTATTATTATTATTTTTTTTTTTTTAAGTAGGCTCCACACCCAGCATGGAGCCCAAGGCAGGGCTTGAACACACAACCCTGAGATCAAGATCTGGGCTGAGCTCGAGAGTCGTACACATAACCAACTAAGACACCCAGGTGCCCCCCAAATCTCCTGATTTTTAAATTCAGGCAACAAACTTAAAAAAAAAAAAAATCTCTTCAAACCTCTGCAGTTAAGGAAATCTATTTTCAGGTTGGGATTGAGCTAGAGAACACTGCTTTGATCTTTGAGAGCCTTGTGAAGTAAGCAGGGCATGTATTACAATCTCCATTTGGCCAGCTGGGAAACTGAGGCACTGAGAAGAGCTTAGGTGGCCTTAGTCCTGCCACTTAGCAGCAGGGCCAGGACTAGAATACAGGTGTGCCAGTTCCTGGCCCTCACCTTGGTCCACTCTTTTCCTGCCCCCATCCCCTCCCTTTAGCAGTAAACCATGCACAGCTCTGCTACCAGGGGAGGTAATAAAAGACACAGCGCCAGGCCAGGGGACCTCTCCAGCCCACCAGGTGGGAGCTTGGGTACACGGCCCGCAGTGTCTGCAAGCTCCCACAGACAGTGACAACCGAGAGGTCAACAAACACCCACTATATATTCACATCGA